AGGCCTATTGGAAAAATAGAGCATTATAAAAATAGGTATAAGATAAGCATCTCAAGATTTTGCTGTGCAGCAAAATCTAAACACGCAGCCATCACTGGAGTTTAAACAAAGCCGTTAAATAAAGTTTTAAATGATCGTCATCAACCTCGCCTGCTCGGCTAGATTGGAATAACTGCTAACTGTTAAAAAATAAAATCTTATAGAATCTGAATTGAGGTTTAAAAATGTCGTAGTTAGAAATACTTACCTTAGTAGGATCATGATACCAAGCGCCGTCGATGAAAAACTTATACTCGTGTTTCCCAGGAGAACAATCGATGATCAAAGAAACACCAGAATTACTGGCACAATGAAAGAAAATAAAAAAAGAGCAATGTTAAAAAATATCCGAAAAAAATTTTTAAAAATAGGATACTCATGGGCAATGAAGACGAAGTCTCGAAGTATAAATGTAAGAGCCAGGAATTGACAATACTTCGAAACAGTTAATCTGATTATATGGTTTTTTCAAAAACATTTATTTTGTATATATAATTATGATTAATGAAGAAAGTTGCCCTGTGTGGGCGAAGCGGTTAAAATAGGAGAATACTGCAGAAAGAACCTGTGTGGTGTGTCTACGAGAAATAAGCCAGAAGGAGTTTGTCCGATAAAAAGGGCAGATAAACTAATTATACTCGAAGGGCATAAATAGCCGAGGATGATTATTCCAATCGTAGCTTTTCAACAATTTAGCTTAGCAGAGTGCCAATTTACATCATACCGAAGTCAGAGCAGATCTATTTCGGGCCTACTATATATCTGTAAATGGAGCACAAAACGGAGATAGGTGCAAATATATGCCCATATATTATGGAAGGGTTGAAACTCGGGCTAGATAAATTGTATTAAGGGGTTGGCTAAAGCTTGAGGTAGGTAAAAGAACAACATATATGTTGAGATAAGGTACTGATTTTGATATGATATTTCTATTACTCATGGCATAGTGCAGTGATTCCCGAACTGTGCGCCACGGGGAGCCGCAGCCTCTTTACAAGGGCGCTGCCTTTGTTTAATAACACAATTAGTAGGAGAATACAGGATATGGCGGAGGATATCAACGATGAATTAATTGAAAAAATTAAAGGAGTCCAATTTGGATTGCAAATAGATGAGGCTACGGATAATAATAAGGATGCTCATTTGATATGCTATGTACGCATTATAGATGGTAATAATATTAAAAAAGACCTGTTTCGTAAAAATATCACTGCAGGAGAGAAAGCTCAGGACCTGTTCGAGATTCTTTATACATTCATGTCTGAAAATAATTTGAATTGGCCTAAATGCGTTGGTGTCTGTACTGATGGAGCTCGCTTAATGTCTGGCTGCTATGGAGGATTATAGGCGCTTATTCGAAGCAAATCACCAAATGCACTGTGGACCCATTGCATTCATAGAGAAGCGCTTGCGTCAAAGCATCTGAGTCCTGCACTGAATCAGGTGTTAGAATGTGTGGTGAATGTGGTAAAGTTTATAAAATCTCATCCATTGAAAGCAAGGTTTTTTTAAAAACTGTGTGAGGATATGGGAGCCGAACACTCGTCTTTGTTGTACTATAGCAGTGTACGATGGCTCTCTCGTGACAATGTTTTCTCACGTACCTTTGAATTGCGGTAAGAAATTTTTATTTTCCTTAAAGATGCAGAATATTTTGCTGATGTCGATTTTTTAATAAAACTGGCATATTTATGCGACATTTTTGAAAAACAGAATTCCCTTAATCGCTCTATACAGCTTTTATAAAAAGCTCAAACTATGGAGAAGAAAATAGAATGAAGATACAGATAAAGATTGTTTTTCGATATTACAGCGATTTTGACGTCAAATGAACATGATCTTTCTCGATATATAAAAACCATGTTTAAGGAGCACTTATCACAACTAATTAACTTGTTTGTGAAATATTTTCAAAATGAAAATTTCGATAAGTTTGTATGGATTTAAGATCCATTAAACACTACTATTCCGTCTGAATTTACTTCTGCAGAAAAAGAGAATCTTATCGAGTTGTCTTGCGATAACAGTTTGAAAGCAAAATTTTGCAACATGGGATTGACAGAATTTTGTATTTCAATTAAAGATGAATATCTCCTTCTAAGTGATAAGGCTCAGTGGATTCTAATTCCATTTTCGGCGTCGTATATGTGCGAAGCTGGGTTTTCGGCGGTCGCTGTAATAAAAAGTAAGTATAGAGCAAAAATCAACGTGGAAAAGGAAATGAGTGGCCGTATCCAGTTTAATTCCACGATTTGAGAAAATGTGCAGTGATTTGCAGGCTCATCCATCACATTACTGATTAAATTTTAATTTAATTTTAATAGGGTAAAAAAAAATATTGAAGATACATGAGTTTTATTTATTTTTATATCTTACTTACGAATAGTCATACTTAGAGTAGGGCGCCATGGCAAAATGTCTGGGTTAAATTAATTATGAAGCTTTTACAATATTTCGCGGCGCCCCCCGTAGAGAGGCCGCGG